ATGATCGTGATTAATGCACAAACACCTTGAAATGCTAATCCGCTAATAATAAATCTGGGTCGTTTGCGAAAAGTAGTTCCCCTGTTATGTCTTTACTTGAAGAACAAGTTAGCACGCCCGGAGGATTGTGGTGGAAGAACTCCAGGATTTTAAAAGTTACTTTACCAAGAACGAGGGTACTGTGATCGCCGCATTCCGGTTTTTTTGTTGTCGATGAGTTCACTGCACCCACGTCTACACCCAAAACAGACAAACAAAAACGAGAAAGGAACCACGGAATGTACAATGTTCCATGAAGGCTCACAAGTAGCGCATGTGCCTTGATATTCATCCAGATATTGAAGATTTGTAGGTCACAGAAATGTTCTAGCAATTAACAATATGGCATACTGCAAAGCCCATGTGTGGAACATGTAATAATCAAAGAACATGAAGGATGTGATCCTGAAAACCTGCAGAATCAAACCCATGAGAGATCTCAACTCCCACCGATCACTAAGTCTCGGGTACTGTTTATTTGCGTCTATTCCGTCCCAGACATAATACAGAAATAATAATGTTCCAAGGAAGCCGACCGTACTCAGATCTGGATGATTGTTCCATCAAGCCAGACGTATTGCCTTTCTGTTAGCACTTGTAACAGCAGAGTGCTAACATGCGCATTTTCATTCACGTCCGACACAAATATTCTCAAAAGTACATCAGCTGTTTAACTCTGAAGTGCGACCTCCGATTAGCAAGTAATTACTGACCGGTTGTCACCATACGTATACACAGTGCACCTGGTACTGAGATTTCATAATTGGCTGAATTTTACGACTCGCTCACCACTGCCATCAAAAATTGTTTCAAAAAGTCCTCTTGTTTTTCCATAGATGGCTGATGGCCCTTGCCCGATGGAAATAATTTGCCTCCTCTGATCACCGTACGCGGGGATCCAAAGAAAACCGTAGATCGGCTGAGTTTACACAGATAGCTATCCTCCCACCGTTCTATTTTCTGTGACACTGATCCTTCTAAATATGACAGTAGCTAACTGACTAGCTTAACTTCGGCACCAAAGGGGACTACTCACATAAGCCCCAGAAGGTCTAGTTCTCCGTCAGTTAGGCTGACAAGGAAGAATGGGTCTGTTAACGTAAAAGAACGTCATACAGAGATTGGAGAGCTCAAACAAGTAACCAAACTGGGAGTACCAATAAGTTGCGAGTCTTGGCAGCAAAAACTGTCATGAAATGTGGCGGTTTGTTCTCCACGCTCGGCTTGTCTATGGCGTTCAACTATGCTTTGAGTTTTTTCTAAACATAACCTCGAACAGTAAAATGACTGCGATGGCGCTAATTTGATCAGCGGCATAACCTCGAACAGTAAAATGACTGCGATAGAGGACGACTTACTATCAAGTCGGTGCATTCTCTTCATCAAATCGTCCTCGTTGGTACTGTCCTTGGCGCTAATTTGATCAGCGTCGCACACAAAAAACAACCTCGATAGGTGATACAAACGATCCTGCCCTAAATGCAGCTAGTAATCGTCAAAATATACCTACCGATAACTAGTTTTATTCTGCCCTTAAACTTCGTTGACTCCACTGGGTTCAGGAAACGGTCCAAGTATGGCTCAGACGAAATATGCCAGAGAAAAAGTGATATTCAAAGGTAATATTCAAAGGAAATACGATTCATACGTCCGCCTGTAAAACGGTCAATTTGTTGTGCAGTATTTCTTTCGTCCAATCAATGCAGACGGAGCTTCCCATAGAAAAACTGGGGAGGTTAACATGACTAGACTTTTTCCAGCGTCCATACAGAAACCATGCCTTTACTAACCTTCCACAGTGTAGCGCACATTGTACCACGGTTCCACCAGCACCGAACCATCAGTCGGAAGCGATGAGGCGAATTTGCCAGATAGGAGAATGATGGATGCACGTCCAGGAGTGAAAAGTTTGAGGAGGCGTACGTACAGCTGACCAGTCGGAAGGGAGAACAAAAAATGGAGGCTAACAAGCCGACCAGCAAACATTACGGTGGAAGACGGGAAATGTGTTACCGGGTCACAGTGAACCAGTGCTAATTTGCTTAATTCGCGAGACCGACCAAAGTTGATCTCTACTGGGAAAGGATGTGTAAAACGAGATGAAAGCATTCTGTGCGGTGTGACAGTGGCGTCCAAATCGTGTGCTCAGTGGTCGGGAATAGGTTTCGTATGTATTACCAAACATTTTGAATTGGCTAGGGCTTGACCGACAGCTGTAGCACCTTTTCAGTGCCAAACTACCAGGCCAACTAAAGGAAGTACGAGGGCTGGGATACTGCCAGGTTGCCCAAGCCTATATAGGGGAAGTCGATAGGTAGAGAGAGGTCGATTTCGAACCGCGGACCTTCCAATCAGTAAACTCGGGCTCTAACCACAGAGCCATTTCGCTCCCGAACTGGAGGAACGGTCGAACCGAGAAATCGAACGAAGTGCACTAGTAAGATTGTATTATGCAAGGTGGCCAAGTTGAGACTTACAAAAACAGCCTAAAAATGAACGGATTAACCAGCATCTGTAGTGCAAATGATGTTTCAGAGGCTGAGATTAATGCGCTTCTTTTGAATACACGACAGCCGACAGAAGAAACTCAACTCAGGGTTTGGTCAGATTACGGTGGAAGAACACAACGTGAGTATACAGATACTTATTGTCACCTTCTCCAGGAAAGGGGAAACCAGAATTACAGAAACAAAACAAAGAAGAGAAGCCGAAAATGATGACTACCACAAAAACGTCGAGTGAAGGTGTTACCTGCATGTCCAGGGGGGGGGGGTTGCGGCCGGGTGCCCAAAGCCTATATAGGGGAAGTCGATAGGTTAGAGAGAGGTCGATTTCGAACCGCGGACCTTCCAATCAGTAAACTCGGGCTCTAACCACAGAGCCATTTCGCTCACGAACTGGAGGAACGGTCGAACCGAGAAATCGAACGAAGTGCACTAGTAAGATTGTATTATGCAAGGTGGCCAAGTTGAGACTTACAAAAACAGCCTAAAAATGAACGGATTAACCAGCATCTGTAGTGCGAATGGTATTTCAGAGGCTGAGATTAATGCGCTTCTTTTGAATACACGACAGCCGACAGAAGAAACTCAACTCAGGGTTGGGTCAGATTACGGTGGAAGAACACAACGTGAGTATACAGATACTTATTGTCACCTTCTCCAGGAAAGGGGAAACCAGAATTACAGAAACAAAACAAAGAAGAGAAGCCGAAAATGATGACTACCACAAAAACGTCGAGTGAAGGTGTTACCTGCATGTCCACTTTCTTCAAAACGTGATAGGCTGAATAGACTTGTTCGGGCGGGACTAACTGCATCATATTGGCCACATGAACCACTGTGTCGTCGGGTTCCTCAGGTTCACTGTACAAAAAAGCCGCTTCATGGGTGAGTCGGTACTCAGGCAAGTAAGAGTGCAGTGTGTGCAGTACCCGTTCCTTCGGACTACCAGCAGGTTGCTCACACTGTACCGGGTCGTCTGATAGGGCTGAGGCGAGCAGCAGTTTGAAGTAGTCAAAGACGATGCGGCAAACCTTGTGGGAGATAGGAAGATGGAAACCAGGTTACTGAAAGAAGCACAGGTCTAATACTTGATGCAATCTGTTCCAAACCAGAGGTGCGGGTGAGTTCTTACAGCCTAGGCTGGGAACCAGAATATACATATAAGACACGCCTAAGATTCATTGTATGTTTATGTGGGAATTCCCATGCACATATTGGAAGACGTCTTACAGAATATCAAATGACGACTTCAAGAGTAACATTGGTATTTTTGTGTGCCCAGTTAATAAGTGCGAGCCATCAAAGCAATGGGATTGCTGTAGAGGTAGATTCAAATGTCGGGAGAACCGAAGGGCACAAGCCTCATTAGAACCTGATTTGAAAATTGCAGACCTGTGCCTGGTTGGAGAAGGTACGAGATGTGGCCTCCAACCGATGTCAATGGCGTTTTTATTGTCAGATTGCCCGAGTGAGTGTCTGGAGGTGTATGCACCTCGGAATGATGTAGTAAACAAGTAATAAGTCCCTTCCCTGTCCACCTTTATTCTTTACACTTCACGATTGGGCTTTCAAATAAATCATGGTTGTACGGCAGCGAAGCATCGGTGTTGAACACTGATGTCATGCTGTCGACGATGATGATGGTCCACACAAGGAAGTGACGGTCCTACCATCGAACCGCAAATCGAACGCTTATTTGACCAACTCAGGGGAATTGAACCTACGTCTCCCGAGGAAGAAGACTGGTTCACAGCCAAAGCAATGGATATCAGAGAGGGTTTTGTTTCCACTTCGATATACCCTCTAATTTCATTTTGTCACAAGGATACAGAAAAGCTTTACAGAAGCAAATTCATCACCGAAATTGACAGCGTAACATCAGTGTTCAACACGGAGGCTTAGTTTCCACAAAGTAATAGAATGTCACCGTAATAAAGTCAGACAAAGGATCAGGTGCTGTTATCCAAATAAAATGGATTGAAGGTCCAAACTCCGCAGTCTCAACCGACTTGATTAATTAGATACCGACTTAACATCCACTGATGCAGAAAGAAATTATAGATTCCGACAAATACACTCATTTTCCTTTCAACTAGGTTTTCACGAGAGACTCAACTGAATCTCTCGTTTATGATATTTTTCACCTGAATTCGCAGTACAAAGGACGCTTCATATTTCAGTTGGTACGATATTCGATATATCACAGTATCTTTTCACTAAGGAAACTACCCACAAAGTTGCTGTTGAAGAGTCTTAAGCAACGTTGTTAGTAGTTTCCTTTATTGAAAAAATTATAGATTCTTTTTTACTCAGCTTCATCTCTCAGGTTGAGTTTAACATACTTAAACCTATCGTCGGTTTATAGACCCCTGTGGATCTCCCGTGTATAGACTAGGCTTATGAGTTTTCACGAACTATCTGACCAATTTTAGCTGTGGATGGTTCACTCTGGCATCAGATAGCTAGGTTTTTGAAAGACATTCGGAGATCCGCTAGGAGAGTTCTCTCGCACAGTAGTGTGAAAAGCATGTTTGGACTTTCACCTCACTCAGAATGACACTGGCAGGCGTTGGTCAATCACCCGATCAGTGGCAGTGCCCCATCAAGGTTATCGCCTTCAGAGCTTAGCTGCCCAGTTTACCGTTCTTTCAAATCACAAGACTAATCCAATACAAACACTGATTAAGGCATCGCCTGCGACGCTTAGTTATATCCACCCACAGGTCACTCACTTTACTATGACGGAAAAGGTAGCAGTTGAAACAACATGCTATACAGCCGATTAACTGAAATAAGAAAATCATGTGTTCGCTCGATGTTCAGTCAATTTTTACTAACATTTTACTAATAGTTTATTGGTGGTTATCTGGTATCTCACCCAGATCTCGTCAGTCCTCCAATCCCTGCTCTTAGAGACTCCAGTTTACCATATGCTAATAACGTCACGTTTTATCTCCAGGGCACCAGTTATAAGCACGTTGAAGGTGTGGTGGCCCCTGAGATACACCTGCGGGGGGAATCAAATTTTTCAAAGGACCGCGCGGTCAAATAACTATCTTGAACGCCTCATCGAAGAGCACCTTGCTTAAGATGATAGGCCGACCTAGCACAGTGCCTACTTCGGCGGACGTTAGACGTCCTTTGTAGGACTTACAGTGCCGCACAGCTGTGTGCAAACCTATACACAGAAGCCACACCACTGTTGCTAGCCAAAATGCCAACGTCGGTTTTGTTTACTGGTCACTGCACCTATATATCTGCAACTGCGGTAGAACTGATCAAAGGTCTGAAAAGCTGACGAGTGTCAGTTGACCTTAAGTCAATGCTACTCGAGTCCAAGGTCAAATAGTCGATCGCCAGTCATCCAACTGAGACCGGACTCATCTGATGGTTCCAGATCGTAGCACGAACGATGCCATATTGATTGGTCGTTTTAAGCCTATTTTCTATAATCAGAAAGACCGAAGGGTTGCAATGAAACTGCTTTGCTTTTATTGATTGGTCGCGTTGTTTTAGATCTACATAAATGAGGTAAACTGCGCCGTATTACGGGGGAGGGGAGTGCGCGAAACTTCGTTGTTCTTACTGCTCTGTTTGGAGTTTTATCTTTCAAGATTTTGGAAGTCCACGGTACGTTGATATGCACGGACGGTAAAGGCTTCAAGAATCCCGTTGTTCTAAGGTGACATCAAAACACCTTTGTTGTACCTGATTGGTCAAGGGTTTTTCAGAACTGCATACCGCATGAGTGGTGCAGTTACATTCCGATACAGTGCCATCGCAAATAGTACCCAAGTTCCATTCATCGACTAGCTGTCTGACCTCCGGTCTTGGAATTTTTTTTACGTATTATTCTACAGTATGCTACAAAATACCATCAGCATACTCGAATTCAGACTCCATGATACGATATAATGTAACAGAAGAATTCACCAAATATGGGGCGCAATTCCTTCAGATTTTCCAGCAGCGCATAGCCACAAGAAGACAATACGGATCTGATGAGCTAACGTCAAGGTTGATTACTTCTTGGGTGGACCACGCTTACAAAAAGAGTACATGTTGTCTCTGTGGATCCTTGCTGTGGAATGCCTTCGGTTAAACTTACACTGTCGTCATCATCATGAACAGCAACGCCAGAGGAGAACGCTGTTGCTTTGCTATCGCGTCATGTGCGAAATCGAAAAACAAGGTCAATCAAGGCAGTCAGCCGACTGCCAAGTTCGGCAACAGACTAACAACCAATCAGCGCAGATTACCTATCTATCTTCTGCAACATCGCACGTAAAAGTACTTTGCCTACCAAGAACTCACCTCACTGACATTATCCCGACCATCATCGGTGAGCGTTATGTAGATGATAAAGAGTGTACAAAGGCTGGAGTTTACAAAGTCCGACGAAGGATCCACACCACAGCTGAGTGAAACAGCCAAGTTTCTGGGAGGGAAAAGGAGAAAGCGTGCACACAGTCCGGTGACAAAGGAAGTGGGCAAAAAAAGTTAGTGTGGATCCTTGCTGTGGAATGCCTTCGGTTAAACTTACACTGTCGTCATCATCATGAACAGCAACGCCAGAGGAGAACGCTGTTGCTTTGCTATCGCGTCATGTGCGAAATCGAAAAACAAGGTCAATCAAGGCAGTCAGCCGACTGCCAAGTTCGGCAACAGACTAACAACCAATCAGCGCAGTCAAATTACCTATCTTCTGCAACATCGCACGTAAAAGTACTTTGCCTACCAAGAACTCACCTCACTGACATTATCCCGACCATCATCGGTGAGCGTTATGTAGATGATAAAGAGTGTACAAAGGCTGGAGTTTACAAAGTCCGACGAAGGATCCACACCACAGCTGAGTGAAACAGCCAAGTTTCTGGGAGGGAAAAGGAGAAAGCGTGCACACAGTCCGGTGACAAAGGAAGTGGGCAAAAAAAGTTAGACGAACCAAATAAAGACAATGAGATTGGTCAGTTGCTGTATATTCCAGTATCAGTTCTGAGAGGTATCCGATCCTGACGGAGCACTACCAGTCTCAGGCTAAAGAAATGCAACACACATTACGTACTTGTCTTTTAGCATTGTCAGTATGCTTCCTTGTCCCTCGTGACCGACCAACGAAGAGATGACGCCCATCGGTGCAGACCTGACATGAAACAAAAAGCATAGGATAGTGAATATGTGTGAAAAAACGACTGGGGAACTCCGCACCATAGAGAGCTTTCCATAGGTATATGTGAATGATTCGTAGTCTGATGGGTTGCAAAAGTGCTGAGACTGATGGATCTTCCCTAAGAATACTCTGGGTTGACAGCGTCTAACTTGCAGAGCGAGCGGTTGTTTACAAACCTGACTTAAGCATGTCTGTAAATCGGCGATGAAATGCGAAGGGAGAGAACGACGAGTCGACGTTCAATTCACCGGGTTAGTGCCTTTTCCAGAGAGCCACTCTCAGCTGTCGTGTTCACAGTTGCCATTATTTTATCGCGCCTTCATTAACTGAAATCAAATCACGAGCCGTAGGTTTAAAGTGTATAGAAAACCGGAGTGGTCCGCTACCTTAAGTTTAGCCTGTTGCCAAAATACACCCACCGTTGGAAGTAGTAAAAGTTTTCCACCAGCCAGGGTTGCTTTATTGTGTAAACTTGATTACAAAGATTGATTCCAAGAGCATTCGGTTACCACTACATCAAGATGAAAACCAGTCAAAGACACCCGTTTGCAGTGCATTGAAAGCAAGCGGTCATCGAAAATGACTGGGCAACATGCTATTCCCAGGGGAACGTACTGAAATGGAATCACTGGCTGAACAAATAGACTGGAACGATTTTCCGAACTTCGGAACAGGCTTTGACTCATTGTTTTGCAAAAACCATACTTGAAGAAGTAGCCATTCAGTGTAGTCAACATGCTTCCTTCTGAATTTCGAAAGGCACTTCGCACATTCCAATCAGCGGACGTTAGTCTTTTTCTCAGTAAGCTGGCAGCCAACACCACATCAGCTATTAACCAATATGAATGGAAATTCCTCAGCACATGAGGCCCTTAGGAAAAGCAGCATCCGGTCTCCGCTGAAGAATCGTACTCTCTAGTAGGATGGCACTTCTTCAGAGGGGTCTGTGTTGGGGAGGTGACTTTTGCTAAGGAGTCGATGGCACTAAACGTACGAAGCTGAGCCGTGAGCTGGAAATTTTGTGAATCATCCTAGTGTATTCGTGGAAAACTGAGGAAAACGGGGTATGATGAGCTGGAATGCCCATACTTTCGAAGCCAAATTAGACAAATTAGAAAAGTACCAATCGACATCGGTAGACAGTCATAGATCACTGCATCTACGGTCGAGTGCATAAAAGCTTAGAGGAACTGCACACTGGAAGAGTGAGTACACTTCAACATGAAAACCATGCACACCGGTAATTTGAATACAGAGTGCGCAAATCGCGGTTCTCCAGGAATAACGGCTGGAGGTACAACATCACCTAACCTTAGCAAGAAAAATATTAGGTAACCAAAAGATGCGAAATACTCACTCGTATGAATCGTGAAGAGGAGGCAGGGACCAGATAAGACGGAGTTTCTCTCGGTCGCCAAGAGGGCACACTAGCCGCAGGTGAAACAAAAAACAAGATAAAAGCACCAATCGGTAAAAGCTCAAATGAGACGGTTAAAGGGAAGACGGGAACCAAAAGCCAGAAGAAATATCATTGTTTATTGAGAACATCGACAGCCGGAAAACGGCCACTAGTGCGCTTACATTGCAAATCCTTTACGCCTACTACGCCCGTGGAACACAAACTTTTCGCACACTGTCCAGGTTATTGTGATCGAGAAAAGAAGGTGGATATATGAACGCAGGAACTTTACGTGCGAAAGTTTATATTCAAACCCCTGTGTCAGAAGAATGATTTACCAGCTCGACTCCCCGTGGAGGTGATACGAGGTGCACGTGAGTCACACAACGTCTAGTCATCCTACGAAGCTGATTTGCCTTAGATGGAAGTCGTGCTCACCATCAGAATCTTGACGATAATGCGCGTTCGAAACTGAAACCTTCGGCAAAAAATAACAAAGCGCTGTCACTCAGCCACAAGTGGCAGATCGGCAGTGACGTAATTCAGGATCGCTCAGTAATTTTCAACCGCACAGATCTATGTCACACGAATTGAGGCCGACTGATGCCCGCTGACAATGTGTCGAGGAAACAATGACGCAACTTAATTGAATGGCTGCCCCCTCACTCACAAGGGTGAAGGGATACGTTTGAGAAAATGTGGAGAACGACATTGCGCCAGCCTCTGATGACTCCAACTGCAACCATCGGTACCCATTCAAGGTGCTCTAAACAAGGTGCGTTCTGAACACCATTTTGGTCAACTTGAACAAACTGATGCATTATATTGTGTTCTCATCTACTCGAGTGATCAAATCGAATAACTGCGTTTATATAATAATCCGTAATCTGGAGAGGAAAAACAGCAGTTCACCCACCTCGATAGAATTTGTTGAACGAAGGAGTCTCAAACGAATTGACAAATCCCGAGAAGTCGAGTGGTGGAACGCCACTAGAGAAAAAACACAAAGAAACATGAACAGAAAGATTAATCTGGCCGGAAACAAGCGGTGAGTAAACGTAAGTTGAATAACAACTAGTCTTTTATTCACTAGAAGGGGGTTGAGAGAGATCATCCAGTATGTAGTGTGAGTGTAGCGATGCGTACAGCAACCACGAACTCATCGCTATGCACCACTATGCCCCCTAAAAACGCACTGATGATGTCAGCTCGATGAAATGGAAACGCACTGATGATGTCAGCTCGATGAAACGGTTGCAATCAAACTGTCCAGCTCAGCGAACAAACCAACGACCATCCACGCTGCCTGAGCTAACAACATTTTCCTCTTTAGAAAAATAAATGTAGCTGATTCTCCAGTGAAGCGGCAAGTGGAAGCTACAGGATGCAAGATCGCCATGAGTTGCGTGACACAGCCATACCTATCAGATTCACTAACCACCGGTTTGTGTCGACCCGCGGTCCTCATCCAGAAAGACTGTACCTACCAACGCGACTCAGTTGACTGGCAAGGGCTTTGATGCCTTGTTGCTCAGTCAAGGACTGACTGCCTATCGGTCGTTTCCATTCGACACAAGGCTGGGCGAAGAGGGCACTACGGGGCAAACGGTCCCTTGGCATACGAAGCACATGGCGTAACCAGCGTGACCTTCGGAGTATGATCAGCTGATCTATCAAGGGAAGCTGGACTTTCCCGATAACCATCTGGCGTACTTTAGCATTACTGATCTGATGTTCACATCAGATCCGCCTAAATTCCGCATGACTAAGACATCGCTATGGAACGAGTTGTTTGCTCTGTCTTGTCAACCTTCTCATGGTCAGTTGAGGTGAACCTGGCAGCCTGTTCCAACTGTGACATGGCCGAAAAAAGTCGCATGTCAATCAGTTTTGGCATCTACGTCACTTTCGTTCAATTGTGTATTACTTAAGCCATCATATTTGACTGCAGCTTCCTGATCAATCATGTAATGATGTATTGCTAAGGCCAGTCAGTCATACCACCACCGGTGTGGTATACATTCAAAACTGTCAACTTACGGCTTGGAGACTGCCAGTTTGATCCAAGGTGTCTACCAAGTCACACCAGTTTATATCCAGAGGGAGAGGTGGTGACCAGTCAATACCTCACCAAAAATTCTCTATAAAGAGGTGTGCACACTAGACTATTTAAAAATTCTCTGGTAGGTCTGCCGAATCGATCAGGAGGCTACTATGGTTGCCCAGTCTGAGAGGTTGCTCGTGGCTTCTGTGGAGGGTATCGTGTTCACGCACAAACAAACAAGCGAGCATAACGAGCATGCCCGGTTGAACTCCAGTGAACCACCAGGCTATCGGACAAATCAAGATTCACCAATCGTGTTTGAAGTTCTGTCTCATCAAGGACAAGTGACTAACGGTATATACACAGAGCTCACTACCAAGAACAACCACAAAATAAACGTGGGCTGACATTTAGAGGAGTGTTAACTCTATACTTAGCCTTAGGTGATTCCAGTCAGGCATATTACAGTCCTTGGTTCAACAGTAAATACTGTATCGACGACTAACTTACTTGGCAGCTGCTATCTAGTTGTCATCAGCAGCTACCAAAATACAAAAGAGTTCCCCATAATCCTCCATATAAGACATGGAATCCCAAGCGGCAAAATCTTGTGTTTTTGCTTAGCACAACGTCAACTAACAAATTCCATCCGCTGTCTTGTGGTGAAACGGTACTGTCCAGTTTTCTCAAAACAGTCCACTCGCTGCAATTACAGTCACTTTCGTACGGTCTTTAACCTGCTACAAAATGCCCGATTGCTTAAGCCATAGTTGATCTGTTTATACGAATGTAAGTCACTTTCGTACGGTCTTTAACCTGCTACAAAATGTCCGATTGCTTAAGCTATAGTTGATCCGTTTACGCGAATGTAAGGTCAGTTCGAGTTTCTGCAGTTTGCCGTTTTTCGATAAGACCTATATCGATCGAAAGCATGTTCCATTTGTGGTGTACGCATCGGTATTAGGACACTAAGCGATTCATTCATCCTTTCCGGAAATTCATCCTATCAGGTCTCGAAAATCACGTTTAACCGATCGTGACAAAAAGAAGCATACATTTTCATAAAGGAAACTACTCACAACGTTGCTCAAAACTCTTCGACTGAAACATGAGGCGGCCTGTGAGCAGCACTTTCAGTTGTAGGATATCATAAACGAGAGATTCAGTTGAGTCTCTCGTGAAAACCAAATTGATTTGCAAATGAGTGTATTTCTCGAAGAAGCATACATATTCCATTCCCCAGTGCTGTTTGTTTGATAAAAGAAATCGTCAGTGTACGGAAACCAAATGCCGCACTGTATGCGCTTCTCAAGAATCTGAACATCAGTAGATGACCCGGTGCCTGTATTGAGAGGCAGTGTGACGCAGAAATTCTCACGAGCCTCTAACCGATGCTACTAGCTAACGCCAACAACTTGACTGTGATGAGGCCCGTTGGAACTCAGTCGACCGATAGTGAATGTTATCTACATCGTGTGATAACTGCATGCAGGCCTGGGGAGCTTGAGCGAAGTCGGGGAATCTCGACTAATCTGTGTTGGTTAGAAATCTGGCATGACACAAGCACCACAAAGCTCACGAAGTCGCAGCCGTAGTTAAAACTGCCGATACTAAGAGCGGGAGCTCTTGCGGTGGTGTTCAGCAGCCAAGATAAGCCGGTTTGTCTGAGGAGTGAGTGGGTGGGTGGGTAAGTAAGTAGGCGTTGAGTAAGTAAATAGTAAGAGAAACCCTTACAATGGTAGCGCGGAAGCACACTGGTCTCACACAATTAGGCATGAAGTGCGGCCGGCGACACAAACGTAGGTCCGAAAACCCGTACAAGAACGTCGATGCGCAGGCAGTATTGACCACACATGCAACGCACTCCCATGAAGATCTCCACGAAACGAATGCGAAACTCGAACGGGGTGTACGGAACACTGCTCATCAGTATAATCCGTAGCAACATGCGATCGCGCAGGAACGCCGTAGTTGAAGATTTGTGAATGTGTCAGTGGCACCTATCGCCGTTGGAAAATTGCGGAAAGTTGCCAGATGCACTGCACTGCTTTTTGTATCACATAGGCACATTTCTTATCGTATTATCTCTCGGAGTCAGGTTACGTTTGAATAGCGAGGTTAGCACAACTTCGCTTCGGGCCACAGGCACAATGAGTCGTCCCACATCCACTGACGTTTAACATTTGGCGAGGCTGGATGTTTTGATAGGTATTCCGGCATCGAACCTTTTAGGCTTTTTTTCTTCCGGGGATATGGCCACTAGATAGCACTATCAGCAGCTCTAATTGGCTGCTGCGACACCGAGTAATTCTATAGCTGATCGAAATATGATCCACCAAACTTGTTCGATTTCAAGAGAACACTGTTCCATCACAGAGCCCCAGAAATGAACATAAATATCGGGTGAGGTTTGCCTGGCCGTCCGCATCCAAGGAACCAAGTCCAGTAGACTATTTCCTTTGTGAGTGTTTGAATCAATGTACCAAGAGGAACGGATCAAGGAAACCACATGCGTCATAGGCGGGGGCGACATGAGCGAGTGGGAGATTATCCAAACAACTTTTAGAAAGCTGAAGACTAGCTGTACTACATACATGCTTTTGTGTTGCTTGTGTCAGGTCGGCTATCTAACCAACGCACAGCGGGCGAGGTTATTGAACTTTACTCATACTCCCTAGGTATGCATGCAGCCATCACGCTACAGAGATAACATTCGCTGTCGTTCTTTTGGGTCTAAGCAGAATAACCTTGTTGCAATCAGCTAGCGTCGATTCGGGGGCAAGCGTTTCAATGCAGATACTTAAGGCGTGTGTCAACAGGTTATCTCGGAGGGACACGGAGCGATGTTCGGTTTTTTGCCGAAACATGATGGTACTTAACCTTTCTTTTATGTCTGCTGATTCGCCAATCTGTGGTATCTGCTGCTGACCCGCTCCAGTGCCGTGCCTGAAAAAAGACTCACAGAAGGGAACACAACAGCTGTATTCCGGACAAGCGAGTGCGAGAGCGTGAGTGCGTGCCAGTACGCGGGCAAAACTTACAACGGCCCTACGCTATTTAAAGAGAACTTTCTGACATTGATCTAGGCTGTCTGATAGGCGTTGGGGAACACCTGTCAACATTGATCTTAGGCTGTCTGATAGGCGTTGGGGAACACCCGTCAACATCGATCTTGTCGCTATGAAATGCCTGAACGCTGATCAAATTCGCGACTGCTTCTGTGGCGTGCAGGAACACTCATCAGCTTTTGCTGAATTGATTGAATGATTGACTGGCTTGGATGCTTGTCGGCTTTCCTGTTGAAATTTTGGTGGAGCAGTAGGCTCCGGGCGTTCCGGGGGTTACTTTCAGGAATCTGACCTTCCTGATACTTTCAATTAGCAAAATGACGCTAAGTTGCTCGGAGTACAGTTGGTTAACGATCCGGTTACGTTATCATCAAGTTCGCGAGCTCATCAGCTGTACCGCACAGTGCCTATAGATGGGGTTTGATATATCTTGGAATGGGTTTGGCTCGGAGAAGTATAAACCAGCTGCCTGAGTGGCGCACGGTTTCCGTAAACATAGACAACAATTTCCGGTATTAGTGGCATTCGTGTGTCCACAACCGGCATCAGGTCATACACATATGTTATGAAATCAATTGGTAAATGTAGTCAACCGAGAAACGTGAGACAGGATTAAGGTAAGTGTACAACCGCCAAAAAGTCAATGGAACGATCATTTGGTCTCCACTGACCTGTCGGCATGGCAACTGGAAGTCTAGCAAGCACTCGTTGTCCTACCATCATGATCCGGACATTGAACCGAACAACACGCAATGCATCCGGACATTGAACCGAACAACACGCAATTCCAGTGTGAACGAGTAGACACCCGACCGGATTGAAGAATTTAAGCTGCATAATATGTTTGGTAATAGTAAACAGAGGACAATGAAATCAGATCGCCTAGCCGTAGTACCCTTTCGGTGCCTAGTTGCCATGCCAACGGAAGGAGGCATGAAGGCTGGGATACTGTGAGGCTGCCCAAGCCTAGACAGGGGTAGTCGGGATGTTGTGGTGGGGTTCGAACAATGGACCTACCGGTCCGTAAGCTGGAGCCTTAACCAATGAGCTATGTCAGGCCCAAAGTAAACAGGACAGCTGAATAAAACGGAGCTGTCGGATGAACCGAAAAGTCCCCCCCCAACACTGGCTAACAAGAGACACGAATGTGTACCGTGTTAAAAAAAAAAGAACCGAGTGGGACGCTTACCTGTTCGGAACAGCAGCGAAGAGTTCACGAGCCAAGGCCTCCAGATGATCCAAAGAATCTGGAAAGATTGAGAGTGATTGAAACTATCGTGCATTCCAAGTGATTCTAGTTCACAGTGCTGACATATTCAGGGACGCAGGTCGAAAACCCCAAATCGATTGAATCACCTCGATAATTTGGTGCAGCTACCCCTCTCCCTCAAGGTAAAAAACATCTTCGAAGAAAGATCTTTTGCTGAACAGTAAAATATCTTGAAACAAACCCTCGAGAGCCATGGAAAAAATCCTCGTTGAAAATTTCCTTTTTACACCCACTACACAGGAAAAAAACAGCAGTATTATTCTTTCCCACAAATCTAGGTCGATTAATTCATCGAGACTGCAAGGAACAATCGCCACAATGGCCCGTAAAATCAACAAGTTTATCTCGAGTTCAACCTGAGCCGTGTGACATTTTGGGACCTGTCCCTACCGTTGCAATCAAGCTGAAGGTAGTACAGTCGGAAAATTGAGCAAAGCAATGCATGGAACCTCGTAATTTCATCTTTCAGGTGAGGTCGATGTGTGCCGAAAAGCCGACCAGCACCACACTGTTGTTTCATCCACGTTAGGATTCACCTGATATGTGTAACTCACGGAATGCGAAGAAGATTCGAACCCAAAATCACCTGCTCCCAAATGTGATCTTATTCCACTTTGACAGGATATGTTGCCACCAACTTTTGGTCATGCTGTTCAGTTTTTCGGTGTTAACACGCCCTTCAGGCTGAGTGACGATTGGTTCTCGGCTTCAGCCGGGAGACGAAACTCGGTAGAAACATTTGAGCCTTTCTCCACAACAAATAGACGAAATAATTATCCACTTCAAAAGCAAACTATCCTAAAAATTAAACCACATCCACCGTCGGACACGTAACTTTTCTTTTGTGGTTCTCACACAGGTACGTCCAGTGGCATACGGATTACACGCCCGAAATCGTCCGGCTGACAAGCGCTTTACAGACTCATCATGTTTATGCAGTTACAAGTGGGCAAAGGTGGTTCACTTCAAGAACGTTTAGTTAGGCTGTCGACGTATTTTCAGTAACCTTATGAGTAGTGCTTTACAAATATATACGTGTATCGCGAAATCTCGAATATCGTATCTACTGAAACATGAGGCGGCCTGGCGCAGTACATTCAGTTGCCTGGAAACATCACAAACGAGAGATTCAGCTTGGTTCCAGGTGAGTCTCTCGAAAAACCAAATTAGTTTTCAAACGAGTGAATATTCGCCGATTTCGTGCGATTTGGTTTCAAGTAGAACATAAGGTTGACGGAAACCCGGGGACTGCGCCTACCTGATGAGACCCAAGAAGGGCAAAACCGGTCGTGGGCTATCGACGAAGTTTCAGCAACCTAATGCGTAGTGCATTAAAAAAAACTATTGTTTTTTTCACAAACGCTATTGAAAACAACCGCACCAAGTTGACCGAATCACTACATACGTTCATCCGGTTGGTATCCGTCATACCAATAATTGCCGCCATGCGCAAGGAGCTTCAGACCGCGACCCTCACAAACCATGGTCCCTAGACTCCACACAGTGTGCATCGAGATTTTTGGTTTGTTTCAGTTTTTGGTAAGTTTCAGTCTGGCCCGTGATGCTGAAACTTTGGTGTCGAGGCCCATATATTAACCCCAGTAGATGATGTTGCAACGGTACACCCTCATGGTTGTGGCGATCAACCCTGGCACAGCAAGAGCGAACGCGCGTGTCACAAATCGTTGCCTGACGCCACTACCGAGTACCGAACATGACCACGACTTCGTGACTAACAGTTCAAGACAACCTGGGCAACTTGATCAAATGCTGTTGCGGAATGTCACCTTACCCCAAGTCACTTGATAGCTGACTTGTTTGCACTAGCCAGCAGAGATGAACTTTCAAGGTTCTGTATGATTCCGCGAAGACTGTTTATTGTATTCTGTGGAGGGGGGTGAAATGCATTCGGCAGACGACCTATCGGGGGAGCTAATTCCGACCTAATCGCGAATCGCTGCCGTTAAGGCGAATGACGCTTGAAACTAACCTGCAGCTAACTTGTAGATGGCACAGAGGATTTCGACCGAAACACTCAAACACTGTCAGGTTCTGCTGCCAAACCTTGAATAAACAATGAAGCAGGGAGTTGGACCGGAAAAGCAAGCCCATACTGATACATCATCCAGGATCATCATCAGGACAAAACGCGGAATAGATCATTCTCCAACCTCCAGATCTAATTGGTTTGGTGGGGATCGTGGAAAGTTGGCTATTCTTAATTAGTTGTATTTCCTAACGAAATTCTACGCATGTGCTAAAATAAGAAATCACCTCAGGACAGGATATTTTTTGTCTGGGGAGATTGTAACCAACAAACATGTCGGCGAGAACAGTCAGCTACTGTCAGATTCCACAATCCTGTAAAGTACTTCTTTGATGGTCAAAATTTGACGATATCTCGAAAGAATTCATCATAAAGAGAAACCGACTGTGCTAGGTGTAAGCAGCATCGCACAACGGTCATACTTTGCTTCGACTCAGTGATTCGACATCGCTCCTGGGCAGCTGTGATTCCAGATGGTCAAGACGCCGGCTCATTCTCAAGCACGAGAGAGCCAAAGTAAAGTAGAGGGCAAATAAGTAAGATGTCTGCACTCCCTAATAATTCGCTTACCTTTGGAATGCAACGCCAATGTCATTCGGTGTGCAGAATACATGTTTTTCCGGTGTTGTTGTAACAGCGAATAGATGTCAGTCCCACGCTCCTCCGGGATATCCCGTAGCGACTTCATATTACCTGGAACAAAATTTTCGCAGCTTCTAGAATCGAATGCTAATTGAGTAACACATAAAATTAAATACCCAGACTATCTAGTGTTTGATAATACAGCAGCTAGCGAATTTACTGACCGGAAGGTCTGGATTCGAAGGTTCGAATCCGACCTCTGCCACTCGACTTCGCCTGTCTGGACTTGGGCACTCTGGTAGTACGCCAGCCCTCGTGCTTCCTCCGGGTGGCATGGCAGCTAGGCACCGAAAGGGCGCTACAGCTGAACGATTTTTAGCAAGCGAAACTGTGAGCCGGAAACCAGTTAGGTGACACAAAAACCGTTCAGTGAATTGGCTCCAAAGGAATACTTTCTTATTTTCCAGTCGTGAGCCGTCGGGAAACAACTGGGCTATTGCAACGCAGTTTGTGAGAGATGGGTAACCAACATCCCATGCATTAGCAAGGTCGCATAACCAAACGGCAGGTGTGTTGCCGTTTGAAGAGATATCAATTTTGTGGGGTCCGTCGTTCACACATAGCATACAGCTAAAATCAGACAGCATCGCGAAATCTGTGTGTGCTTGAAAGGTTTCAACAATAAAGTGCTTTATAAAGGAAACTACTCACGAGGTTGCTGAAAACTCCTCGACAGCCCACGACCGGTTTCGCCCTTCTTGGGGTTCATCAGGTAGGCGCAGTCTCCGAGTTTCCGTCAACCTTATGTTCTACTTGACCTGCAAGGATAGAACGGTATCTACGGTATAGCCCTCCAGAAAAATCCCCTTCATAGAGGGCCCATCAATGTGGAGGCCTCACAACAACTGCTCCACGAGTGTGATCCTCAAAATCAGATCGAATTCCTCTCTCTTCATGGTGGTCCGTTGTGGAAAAAAGGAACATTCCGCGACGTAGCGTTTGGAAATTTGTCCCGGTGGACCAACGCTTGGTCTAAAACGGAGGGAATTCATCGGACGAACCTAATCAGAATATGATCACAAGAAGCCTGGACCCCTAACCGTAGTTGGCATGTTTGTCCTTCATTTTTATGAGATCCTTTTGCCATCAGAAAAGGAGGACTGGAACGACTCCAAAAATGTCATGTGATTCGGTCCATTTTTAAGCACAGTGCTCCATATCTGGAAGAATAGCCAAGGAAGAAAAAAGGGTAGGACTGTTTCCAACTCATCAGGTGAGCGGTTCTGCTCAAGAATGGATTATTGTCTCAGTTGGGACCGTGAGTGACTCGGTCACTCGTAAGCAACTTAAGGATTATCTTTTCAATATCGCATACAATAGAGCTATGCCAGTGTAGTATATGCTGAACTTTCATGCATTCAACGCAAAAACACGACGAAATACAAGGTGCTTACCACATCCGAAAATTTTGAGCTAGCGAATTTACTGACCGGAAGGTCTGGATTCGAAGGTTCGAATCCGACCTCTGCCACTCGACTTCGCCTGTCTGGACTTGGGCACTCTGGTAGTACGCCAGCCCTCGTGCTTCCTCCGGGTGGCATGGCAGCTAGGCACCGAAAGGGCGCTACAGCTGAACGATTTTTAGCAAGCGAAACTGTGAGCCGGAAACCAGTTAGGTGACACAAAAACCGTTCAGTGAATTGGCTCCAAAGGAATACTTTCTTATTTTCCAGTCGTGAGCCGTCGGGAAACAACTGGGCTATTGCAACGCAGTTTGTGAGAGATGGGTAACCAACATCCCATGCATTAGCAAGGTCGCATAACCAAACGGCAGGTGTGTTGCCGTTTGAAGAGATATCAATTTTGTGGGGTCCGTCGTTCACACATAGCATACAGCTAAAATCAGACAGCATCGCGAAATCTGTGTGTGCTTGAAAGGTTTCAACAATAAAGTGCTTTATAAAGGAAACTACTCACGAGGTTGCTGAAAACTCCTCGACAGCCCACGACCGGTTTCGCCCTTCTTGGGGTTCATCAGGTAGGCGCAGTCTCCGAGTTTCCGTCAACCTTATGTTCTACTTGACCTGCAAGGATAGAACGGTATCTACGGTATAGCCCTCCAGAAAAATCCCCTTCATAGAGGGCCCATCAATGTGGAGGCCTCACAACAACTGCTCCACGAGTGTGATCCTCAAAATCAGATCGAATTCCTCTCTCTTCATGGTGGTCCGTTGTGGAAAAAAGGAACATTCCGCGACGTAGCGTTTGGAAATTTGTCCCGGTGGACCAACGCTTGGTCTAAAACGGAGGGAATTCATCGGACGAACCTAATCAGAATATGATCACAAGAAGCCTGGACCCCTAACCGTAGTTGGCATGTTTGTCCTTCATTTTTATGAGATCCTTTTGCCATCAGAAAAGGAGGACTGGAACGACTCCAAAAATGTCATGTGATTCGGTCCATTTTTAAGCACAGTGCTCCATATCTGGAAGAATAGCCAAGGAAGAAAAAAGGGTAGGACTGTTTCCGACTCATCAGGTGAGCGGTTCTGCTCAAGAATGGATTATTGTCTCAGTTGGGACCGTGAGTGACTCGGTCACTCGTAAGCAACTTAAGGATTATCTTTTCAATATCGCATACAATAGAGCTATGCCAGTGTAGTATATGCTGAACTTTCATGCATTCAACGCAAAAACACGACGAAATACAAGGTGCTTACCACATCCGAAAATTTTGTACGGCGAACCATCTGCGGCGAGCGAGGAGATGAAGAACTCCAAACGGTTCGAGTCCCTCGCGTTGGCCAGCTCAAACTCTACGAGGGTCAAGAATACACAGAGACATGATAAGTTGGGTGTGAGGACATGAGAGCAGCATCAAGCTAGTCGTGCAGTCTTCAAGAAAGAGTTCAAGGCAGAAAAGCAGGCGGAAGGCTATGCCTGTCTGCGATCCAGAAGACTGCAACGTAGATCAGATCTTTTGGGGTCGGTAGGTGACTATTTGGGTAAATTTTTTTGCGCGACGGTTGAGACACGGAACAGTGGCCAAAGGATTGGCAGATACGTTGATTGCACTGCACTGGGTTGGGAGAGAACGAGAGGTTAAGATCCGTAAGCAAAGAGCTGCACTGGCAAATGATATCTCCCAGGCCGAAAACGTAACCATCTCCCGGTTGCCCAGGCCGAAAACGTAACCGATCTTCAGCCTTGGACTCAAAAGTCTGACCCACGAGGAAGCGGACAGAAGGGTCCGGAGCCGATGACTCAATAGTCTGACCTGCTCGGCTACAGGGCGTTAGTTTGACCTGAGAGCGCACTCAACAAGGCATTACTGTCCCATTCCTGATGCGGCCGTGCACAATAGGTGCCTTTTGAGCAGCACCGGGTTCTTTGGTTTTAAAAAGTATTTCGATCGTAAGGAATAATGATCCGGCGGTCACGGTCAACCGTTGGGCGATCGGAGTGTGCGGTTTTTGGGGCCGATCTTTTCTAAACCGTCCATCCTCAGGGGAAGGCAGAATCGCTGTTTCCATAGATATGGACATGTTGGTCGCTTAGGGGGAACATCTTACTGTCTTCTCGCTCCTATCGCAAAGGACAGTATGACTTTACCTCCAGACCGCCCGTAATACGATAACTCGCAGTACGGAGACTCCTGTTCTTTGTCGGGCTGCTCCCCGTTGGTCTTCCCGGCATGGTTTAACCTTTAGAAACTGAGTTCCCTCTGACTTTATCTCAAGCCTCACCGTTCGTATAAAACCCGAATCCGCCCCACCGTAAAACACTACTGCCATTTTTTGGCCCGAGCTCTCTCTTTCGACCAAATTCAGCGAAAGATTGGCAATGCGATGGAACAATGGTAGCTCGAGTGTATCTATTGTTAGCTGATCACCTGTCCGTATCGAAAACTGAAGTGCAAGATGTTACACTGAAATCGCTTGTCACTCTGTTCACCCAAATTTCAATCGTACCACATGTGTTTCTTGTTCAGGTTATCCCAAGGAAGTCACCTTCTCCCATTTCGTGTTTTCGCCTCCTCGTGTTCCGGAACTGCTCAATCGATGTACTGACATAAACGCTTGAATTCGCTAAGAAGTGACTTTTTCAGTGTCTTACAGTCTAACACAGGCTTACACAAACCATCATTATTATCACGAAATCGAACAAAAGTTATTCCCTGCTTCTGGAAATTTAAAGGACTGTTAGGAACGTACCACTGTGGACGGCGGCCAACTCACGGTCCGTGCTGTCCGGAAGCAGTAGGGGAGAGATGAAGAAGTGAGCGAATCGGTCCAGACACTTGGAAAAGTGTTTCCGTTTCACATCAAAGTGAAACAGCGTGTACTCGTTCCCGGTCCATGCATTGCTCGTACCACCCCGCTTGCTCAAATACGCATCAAAGTCGTTCTCAGTGGGGTACTTTTCGCTGCCCATAAAGACCACTGAAGTAGTACAGAGGGCAGGTAGAGAGGAATGGAAATTTACCTTACGAGTTCAACTTAACGAAACAAGAGTAACTTGGATAGTTAGCATGAGAAAAGCATGAGAAAAGCATGAGAATAAACGCTTGCAGTAACAGAACCAAAAATGACGTTGGATGTACTGGTGACACAGCAGATCTCCAGTCCCAGTCTCAAATCAGACCGTGCAACCAGAGACCGGATACTGCAACGCGGACTAGGAAACATGAATACCTCGACTCGCAGAGCAACAATAGAACGGTGAATCGAAAACACCCAGGACAGAATGCAGGGCAAACATACAGAACGTCTTTCAATCTGAGCTACACTTACAAAACTTGAAACGATATAAGTGTGTTTGTTTCCTCTATTTACAATAGGATTTTTTCTCCTAAAGCTATATCGGAAGGATGACCTCCCTATAAAGAATAGCCCATTACAAAAACAATCGAATCTTCAACGAACATCTGTGATTTCATAAAGGAAACTGTTCACAAGGTTGCTGAAAAATCTTCGACAATCTTTTGAGTAGTTTCCCTTACAGAAACACTGCGATATCTCGAATATTGTACCAACTGAAAAAACGAGGCGGTCTTTGTGAACCACATTCAGTTGAAGAATGTCATAAACGAGGGATTCCTTTGCGTCAATTGAGCGAAAATCAAGTTGATATGCAAGTGAATGTATTTGTCAGAAAACATGGGATACTTCAATCGTTTCACATCAAACCGATAAAACAGAAACAGGACAACCCAAGACAAGAGTTTTTCGTTCCTCATGTATTCCTTCCATTTATTTATACTTCCATAATCTTTATAAACTGCAAAGAGGTGGTTTTAACGCTTTCCCGTTCAATAGGCATGTACGTATCGGGGTTATTTTAAGCAGAACAGACAAAAACAAACCCATCGAAAAACTGGCTGTGCAGCTCGGGAGTTTGAATCAGTAGTGGGAGCGAAGGATACGCGCATTAGAGCATGAGTGCGAAAAACGGCAAAGTCCGTGACGAAGACCACTATCGTAGTTCGGAAGTCGTAACTCGGCCACCGGCAAGTACGTACCAGTTCGAACAATGAGGTGGCTTCAGTCTTGAAGGATTTGTAATCAAGGGCTTCACAATCCTCTAGAATGGTGAATTTTCACATATCCAAAAGTGCCTTGGTGAATGACGCTCAAAAGGTGCAGCATCAGCAGCAACGGGACAGGAGCAGAGGCACAAGACTTTAGTGCGGTGTGACGGTTTGCGAGCCTGTGTAACCCAATGAGCTGTATGGAAGAGTGTACGTGTCACACTGACGAGACCGCTCAACTGGTAGAGAAATGACCAAGAGTGTCTTGGCTTGGGGGTTGGAACCTTTACGGCGATCTGCCACTAGCAAAACAAGGTTGATCTGACGGTCTTGCGTCGACCGCCATAGCAAAACAAGGTTGATCTGACGGTCTTGTGTCAACCGCCACTGCCTTCCGGCTAGGCTTTTGATCCAAATGCTTTGGCTAAAGACTCTAACCGTCCTCCTGTCTAGGCCCTGACAGTACGTATACCAACCGATGTACAACCATGAGTTGCACACTTACAAATAATAATCTCATGCCACACTCGCCGGTGTCATCAGCCCGGTCACCTTGCTTGCTGCGTACAGCAATGCGGGTAAGGGAAGGCAAACTATTACTGACACCTCCGTTCTTACTATTTCACCTGTTCCTTTTTCTTCCCTCTTCACCCCACTGCTGACGGCATCCCCGTAGGCCCTTTCTTAAAGATTGACATATCCGTTTGCCCTTCGCTGCTTTTAGCTGCAAAACCTACGGTTATAACAATAATTGTTCAGCTGTAACACCCTTTCGATGTATAGCTGCCACGCCACCCAAAGGAACCACCGGGGTTCAGCTATTGCCAGGTTGTCCAGCCCAGATAGGAACAGTCCAGATAGAGAAGTTGGGTTCAAACCACGGATTTTCTGGTAAGAGAATTCGCGATGTAACCACGCAGCTAGCTATAGCTATTTGATCATTGATGCCTCAGAAGCGTTGGTGTTTTTGGAAGTTTTCAACGGATTCGTAATGAGGTCATTACAAAACAGTTATCAGGAATGTACTTCAGCCGCAAACGACCTAAGCTGCCACCTTGACGTGGTGGTCGGGCTTCTGTGCTGCAATGTTCCCGCGGACTAAACTGTCTGGAACGTTGTTCCACAAGGTGCAACTGTGCCAAGAAGACCAAAGAGGAGCAGTTAGACCAAGAGCAGTGAGATCCCGTACTACGAGAAATCGTATTACCAGGCAGTCTGGAGGGTAAGCCGTACTGTCCTCTACCACAGGAATGAGAAGACAGTAAGGTGTTTCCCGTAAGCGACCAGCACGTCCATAGCTATGGAAACAGGACGGTTTAGAAAACATCGGCCCCAAAAACCGCACACTCCGATCGCCCAACGGTTGAACATGACTGCCGGATCATTGTTCCATAGATATGG